TTGTAAACAATGAAATTCTATCAAATTCATGCAGTTTTTCAATGTCCTCGAAAAAAAATGGTGCCGCTGTCCCGACGGTTTTTTAGAAAAACTGCCGCTTCCGCGTCGCCATGAACATCTCTGTTAGCCAGAAAACTGTAAAAATGTTGAAGTCTAAAGATGTCGAAAGTGCAAAATGTGAGTATGGTGAGGGTCTGGCTGTGACTGTGAGTGGACGTAGAATAGTGTGGTCGAAGATTGATGTGAGCGTGTGGATAAGGAGTGCGGGTGCCGGCGTACTCTTCATCTAAACTCACACTGACACCAGCATTGAAGCAGAAAAATACACGAAAAAATAGCATTAGAAAGTTGAATAAACATGTATAAACTATACAATAATTATTTCATTACAGCATCTAATCTCCTCAACGATTTGTCTTTAATTGTAGCAAAAAAAAGTTATCATTGTACAATAAGAATATTTAATGTAAGAAAAAATATAATGATGCAGTAAATAAATGAAATGTAAAGTTTTATTTAAACGAAAAAACATATAACAGGATATTTCGACCTTGTACAGATTTCAATAAATGGTCATCATCAGCTGAAAATGAATATAATAAATAGCATAACTATAACATCAGTAACAAATATAATACGATCTTAACATCATAAATATTAGCATAATCTTAACCTTAATAATCAAATAAATGAAATAAATATTAACATCAAATACATATTATATTATATGATTAAAATTGTCAAGTTCATTTTTTATATTTGAATAAGAATATTATTTAAAATCGATAAACTAATGTTTCAAAGTATTTTGCTTATCTTTTATTTTTTCTCTTTCAATATAATGAACATTTGATTCGAATATAGCTACTTGGTTTTTTAATTTCCTGAACGAGAAAATATTCAGAAGTCTCCAGCTTAGTTTTCGACATTTCTAACGGATGAGGCATTTTTGCATTTCATTTTATCATCACTGAATACATTCTATTAAAAGAAAAAAATATACAAGCACAAGATGCACCGTGAAAAGCTCTACAATTTACAAAGGACAACTTATTTTATAGTTACACTTTTTCTTTTCAAAATCAATTAAATTCTGAGTGATCAAATTTCGGTGCTGCGAACATCGGTTACACAGAATTTTTTACTTTTTTTCAAAACAAAAAGTACAGTATTAAAATAAGCTTTACTTTGTAGATTGTAGAGCTTTTCATGCTGCATCTTGTGCTTGTATATTTTGTTTTTTTTAATACAACGTATTAAGTGATGATAAAATAAAATGCAAAAATGCCCCATTATTTCTGCTTCACCCGTTACTTACGAGTAAAGTTGGGAAAATCAGAGCCGAGACCCTGTGGATAAGCCTCTTGAGGGAACTCAAGACCTTTTATTAGTGGATCTTAATAGTGTGTAGGAGGATTTAAAATCTGTTATTGGAAGAGGCTGAGCCTCCTTTAGTTAAGTCATTAAATAGCAAGATGAGATTTTCTCCTCGTCTCGTGAACATACCGAATTCACAAATGACTTTTTTCTAAGATATGAATTTATAATTTTTCAAGGCGACTTATTGTATAAAAATTTTTTTCACAAATGTTATATTCTAATAAATCATTATGAAGCACTGAATCTTTTACTTCTATTTGATTCATCGAAAATCTTCAACATTTCTTTCGACAGTGTCTAAAAAATGAAGGTGAAGAGAAAAATAACTTTTCATTTTGTAAGATAGTAAATATTCTTTCTTGTAAATTTTATCGTTAGATGTTTGAAAGATTCTACTATTTTATTAATTACACTTTTTTCTTCTATTTTAGTTCATTGTTTTAATAGATAATCTACATCTTAATGTTAATAACTTTGTTACGTTAACCGCATGTATCAGGTTCAAAGTTTGTCAAACTTTAAAGTAATTCAAGCATCAGTTAGATTACAAGATAAGTCAAAAGAATAAGTTCATATTTTACTAATGAATATAAAAATATATTACAAGTGTAGACTGTCAGGATGGAACTCTATACAAAATATCGTACTAATCTCTTGTAATGGTTACTCTATAAGAACACATGAAAACATTTTTTCTATAAAAATAATTTTCAAGCTTACGAAGGAACTTCCCGAAATATTTAATTGTTTTTAAGACGAGACTATGTCTATAATGTAGACTCTAATGAGTTATGAATATTCTTAAAAGAGTTCGAGTTCTTAGCTTATTGCTACAGAGATACTCCAGCAACACGCCATTTTTTTTTTTTCGTAATGCCATAATCCCTCTGGAACACCCGGGAAACTGATTTTCGAACTGCGATTAGAAGTTTTGCACACAGACAGGCCTTAACAAGAATAATTTATTGTGAAAGTTTCAGATCTTTTAATTTGTTTTTATCCTGAAATAAGACTATCGAATCTGCCGGTATATATAGGCGATGTATAAAAAATAAAAGCTTTTACCATAGTCATTTCTAAGGTCATGAACAATGAAAAGATATGCAACTTTCATAGGAAACGATTCTTAGTAAGATCTGTCTATAAGCAAAGTTTTAAATGAACATCAGAAAATCATTTTTCCTAGTGTTCCTGAGAGAACCACTGGTTTGCTTTAAAAATACCGTATTGCTGCAGTATTTATGCAGCAATAAGCTAAGAGCGCGAACTCTTTTCAGAGTACTCAAAGCTCATTTGTGTCTACATCATGCACATAGTCTTATCTCAAAAGAGATTAATTAGTTAGAAAACTTCTCTCATAAGATTAAAGAATTTTTTCAAGTTCATACAGTAGTTGCAAGACATCTCGCTATTGGGTAGCAAAGTACATGAACTTCAATCTTTTTGCCTAATATTTTGACTAGAAATAGAGCTCGATAAACCTTGATCACAAGCAGCCACCTGAGGTCGATGTAGATCTTAATACAAAGAATTTACGATGAAAACACTGGTTTTCCACTATTTAAATATGTTAACCTCCATTTTCTTATTAACAAATAAAGATTTGCATATCTATATTATGTCACAGATAGGATACTTCAATTCACTGTAATCTTGAGGCGCAGGAAAGCTTCCATTGTTTGGAACGGTTCCAGCATGAATCTCTTCTTTATTTATGACTATGATTGTGAAGTTTTCAAGACAAATGGTTAAAATTAGCCAGAGATATCGGTCATTTTTCAATGATTTCCATCAACTCTCTTGTGAAGATTGCCTAAAGAATAGTTCATAAATCAAGCAAACTAAAATTGTTTGATACGAAAATTTTATTGGTGGATAGAGACAGTACTAATCTATCGAATAAGAAATCTAACGTCATGAAATTTGTGTTCTATGTTGAATTATGCTCGTCTGAAGAAAAAAAACCTATGTTGATCTTCTAACTCCTCCGTATGAAGCTCGGTCAGAGTTCAACATGCTCTATTTGTAGTCCAACTATAAAACTAAAGGATTAAAGTTTAGATACATTTTACAATAACTGTATGTCATATTTCAGCTGACGTTCTTATCTAGCTTTGCACAATCTGATACATGTATTAATCCAAAAGCATTTAGCCAGAATAGTTTTTTTTTTTTATAAGTGATTTATTGTTTTTTTTTTGACATCTCATTATTCTTACGTGCCATTTCTACATAATGATTTTTCTCCATCTTTTGTCGGAACTTTTATTCAGATTGAAGAAGTTATCTTGGAATGACATTAATTGTAATAAAAGACGTCTACCTATTTATTTGTCAAATTATAATTGCAATACGACAGCAAAACTATTGTTTTTTCTTCTTTTCGACACTATAATTTCTATGAAATAGTTATATCAATTTTAAAATAAATAATTATCAATAATTCTAAACTGTCGTCGAAATATAACTTTTAATAAATAATATTTTTAGTTTACAGATAGAGCAGTGTTCAGATTTCCAAAAAAGGAAATTACGGAATGTTTGGAAATTTCCAAAATTTCTGTGCTCTTCGAAACTTCCGAAAATACTTTTCTTTGAATTTAAGTGTTTTTGAAGATAATGGGAATTTCCGTAAGTTCCTTTTTTTCGATATCTGAACATACCTCGAAAACAAAGCTTTTCTAATTGAAAAAAATACAAAAATCAGAGAAAACTCTAACCGACTGACCTTCAATACTTAAATTACACTCATAAATGCGTTACTCTTTCACACAATGAACAGTTTTTTAAAGTATCTGAATAATTAGATAGTGAAATCCTTCTCCTTTTCTAGATTTTGAATAAAGAAACAAACTAATCTTCTTCAAATTGTCACAGTACCGTATATGTTTTAGTGACGTCTCTAATCGACAATTTTCGGTTATTGGAGAGGGGCTATTCGCTGCTTCCGACAGTCTTAAATATTGAATTTTGAAGAGAATTGAACAATTGTGAACTCAACAAACAAACATCAGCTAATCAGTCTGAAAAATGTAGTGCGCTTTCAAACTTCAGAGTGTACAGTGCGCACTCCGTTTTCTCAGGCAGAATGTAAACAGAGTGTATTTACGAAAAGTAGATATTCAGCGGACTTTGCAGTCGCAAGCACATTTTGTCATTAGAAACACTGCTGAATATATTTTAAAATACTTTTTTCAGGAATTCTATCGAACAAAAAAAAAACGAATCAACTGGTAGACGTCCATGTATATTTCGACTGGAAGTATAAATTAAAAAAATGACTAAAAAAAAAGATTAAAATAAAAAATAAATATATATATGTATTCTGCAATCAGTTTTTTACGTGATAAATATTATCTTTCCGCTGTTTGAACTTCACTTCTTCATGTTCGGATGAATAAGAACAGTGAATAGCAAGAAAAATAATATCTCAGACAGACAAAAAAAAAAAGAAAAAAAGGATAAATTTTTGTCTGTCAATCAATTGGACTATTCATTGAGGCTATTTTTTTTCAACAAGTCATCCGTTCATTTTGTTCAATGATAGCAGCGGACATAAACAAACAATGAACATATATATATATATATGCATAATAAGAAAAGCGTTAGTCAAACTCAATATGAATCAAACAAACGTTGGTCTTTTTGATTTACCTAATGAAATATTACTTATCATTTTAAAAAAGCTCGATAATATGGATGTTCTTTATTCATTGTTGGATGTTGATAATCAACGACTTGACATTCTAGCACAAGAAAATACTTTCACTAATACTCTCAATTTTGTATTAACAACATTAACTAATGATATTTTCACCCTCACACCTACAATAATTAATCGATTTTGCACATATATTTTGCCAAGAATTCATCACAATGTTAAATCTCTTATTCTTGATTCAGTATCTATGGAACGTATTCTTCTTGCTGCTGATTATCCTAATTTAACTGAACTTAAACTGTTTAATTTTAATGGTAAAATTGTTTCATATTGTTTTACAGGTAAATAACTTATGTATTGATCAAAGTAAAAATTTAGATGAAAAATTGTTGTATAGATAGATTAGACAATAACTATTTATTTTTCTATTTAGATGCATCACCATATGGACGTATTTTTCAACGACAAATTACAGATCTTATTCTTGTATTCGAAAAATATTTTAATGACATATCAGGAAAAAATTATACAACAGATGTGTATGAATATATTTTGAAATCCTTCGAAAATCTAAAACATTTATCTATTATTGGATCATATATTCAAGACATTCCACCTTTGGTACTTTGTAATTTACCTTTAACTACCTTCTTCTCTTCAACTCTTAACAAATTATGTATTCGTGTGGGAAGTTTTGAAGATTGTCTTGCTTTACTTGATGGTCGTCTTAAAAAACTAACAACCTTAATTGTTGTTATTAATGATATGGAATATGATTCATCAAATGTTTACAATACAGTAAGTTTATATTTGATTAGATTAATATTTTCACTTGAAAAACCAGTAATGTTGATCAGAGTAAGAATTGTTTTCCTGTTAGAATAGATAGATTTTTTTCGCTAATGAATGTCCTATGTATTTGAATCAACTATAATGAAATAGTTGTAGAATAAATACTCGTCTATTCGATGAGCAAAGATAGTCAATGATTTTGTATATGATATTTTCTTAATTATTAATTATTTCGTGCTTATGAATTCGATTTGGAGAAATAAATCGAATGAGTGAATTTTATTTTAATTAACAAATTGTTTAGTATTGATAAGTTTTAGATTTCTTGATTAGTCATAATTGCAGAAGAATATGTATATATCATCATCATCATCGAGTAGAAGAAATCTTTAATAGAAATAATGCTTTTTAAATAGTTATTCATCTGAACTTTTTCTTATTTTAATTGATAATGATATATTTCAATTAATATTTTCTAGGATGATCTACCTAATTTAAAATGTTTTTCTTTAACAACATCTTTTTGCTTAACTGATACATATGATGCTCAAATTCCACGTCTTTTTCGTCGTATGTCAAATCTTGAAGAATTAACTTTGTACATAACTATCGAGGACCGAACTACATTTATCGATGGTACCGATATTTATAATGAAATTCTTGTTCATATGCCACGACTTCATTTATTTAACTTTTGTATTTGTACCGACACTAAAAAGGATCTTTTAGCTCATCATTTATCTAAAGATGATATTCAACAAACTCTTAGTAACATAAAATATCAACAAATGGATTGTATTGTAAACTACCGATATTCTACTGCCATATGTTATGTCTTTTCATTACCATTCATGTTTGAAATTCTCAGATTTATTGGTAATACATTTCCAACTATTGTTTTCAGTCATGTTAGAAGTTTATCGGTGAAAGATGATGTTCCATTCAAAGATGAATTTTTCTGTCGAATTGCTTGGTCTTTTCCTTTACTTGAAAAATTATGTGTTATTAATATTATACCACAATCATCAATATCAGATAAACAGACGTCTAATGATAATCAATTGCATTCAATTGTTAAATATCCTTATCTTATTTCGCTTCGTCTTCTGAATGTTCATATTGATTATGTCGAGCAATTTTTCAATGAGACAAAAACACATCTACCTCGTCTAACCAAATTAACAGTCAATTATAGTCAATTAAAAATTGTCACAAAAAAATTTAAAAGAGATACAACACGACTTAATTGTATCCAAGTACAAGAATTATATATCAATGAAACAATAATACAACATAAAAAAAATTTCTATGTTTATTTTCCTGTGTTACAATGCTGCTCTTTTTCTTACTAAATTAATAAAATGAATAATGAAAACATTAATAATGTCTTTTCAATCGAATCAGATCGAGCAAGAATTATTCATTACAGATGCTTGTTAACTCTGAAATTGTGTTCCTATAATAAATGTTTAGGTTTTACATCTTGTATAAATGACATATGTCAATACAGATTAGTTTGTTGATCTCATATGTTTGAAATAGTTCAATAAACAAAACAAACAAACAAACAAATCGATTGTCTATTCATAATCAATGATATATAATTGTAAAAGTGAGATATTGTTCTATATGGATTATTCATAGGGATAAGTGCAGACACCATGCACCAAATTATAGTGAAAGGTGCTGAAAATATGCCATGATGTCCATAGAATTTTGAAAAATAATAATATGGTGGTATGACTTTATTAGAAAAATAGAATGTCTTTTTCATGCATACTAATCGCAAGGACATTGTAAACATCGTTTGTTATCAGAATAATGTAATATAGATATAATCAAAAAAAATGCATACCGTGAGTATGTAACTCTGGTTATTTTCATCAAAAGCAAGTATAGTTGATTCTGTTATGAATAAAATACAAATTGATCCATTATATCTTTTATTAAAATAATAAAGTTTATTGGAATTGGTCAAGTCAATGTAGGTGTGGAGTTTGATGTTCACATGCAACGAATATTGAAAAGATTAGAAAAGTTATAATTCATTGAAGATGTGATGTTTTAGATATGCGTTGTTGTATTGTCAATCTCGTGCTTATATAAACGTATATCAGAGTTCTATTTTGTTACAGTATAATGCTTTAGTTCTTTTCTTGAGAGTGCAATCAGCTGTTTTAAATATTTCCATAGTAAATATTTCGTTGGAAATTTTTATGTCATTACGGTCATAGTAGTGTGCTATGCCTTACTAAAAGATAATAACATATTCTTATGATATTTTGTCAATCTTATCTCAGGAATACATTCAATTAAGAAAAATATATGTAGTGATGAAATCTCGTAAGGATAGATGTCAGAAGGTATTGATGAAAAATTCAAGAGAATATGATTGGAGTGATTTCATCTTCTCATTTTTGCACGTAGAGTCTCCATCCATTCAATATCCCATTCTATATGTCAGCAAGTTATCAAACAGACTAATTTGTTTAAAACTTATGTTTTATTTTGTCTACGAATAAATTATTTAAAAAAACTAATTGATTGAATATAACTTTCTGCTGCTAGTGACCAGTCAGATTTTTTTTAGTTTGTACTTCGACCATTTATTAAAGGGAGGTCAATGATAAGTGTATGATTGCTGATTTTTTCGACCAATCAGATGTTTATGTAACTGTCGGAGTTTAGGGTATAGTACAATAATAAGTTTCTTAAAAAAAGAAAAGAAGTGTGTAATTTCGTTTCGAAATTATTTCCCTTTTCTAACTTCTTCATCGATTTTATGCTCCATGCTTACATTGATAGCTCGGATTAATATTTACTTTTCTTCCCAACGTATAACCCATTCTCTATTATCCAGCTTTTCCATCTCATCGAATATTCGTCAATATCGCTATATTGAAAGTCAAACACCCCATTCACCATCAAGTCATTATATAATTAATCTTCATTCTTGGAAATTAACTCATCAACCACGCGAACCCACTCTTCATTGGAGTTCTCGGTTTCGTCAGCAACAACAACAACAATTTGAAACAGAAGAACAAGAAGAAAATCAATCAAGTGAAAATTGGGATTCGTGGTTCCAACAACATCAATCATCTTTGCTTCTTCCATTTTCTCAACATCAACGTTATTTTCTTGATCATTCTCATCTTACATCAATGCCTAAACGTCCAAGAGAATCTTCATCACCTATTCATATATCAAATAAACGCGAAAAATATTCACTGTGTAAGTATTTGAATAATTAGTTCTTGTTTTATTCTAAAATTAAAATATTCTAGTCGAAACTAATCTTCCAAAACGCACATGGATCAATACAAACTATGAAGAACGTTTAATTAGAAGTCGTTATTATCATTTTAATTTTCATATAATGAGCTATAATATTCTTGCTCAAAGATTAATTGAAGATAATCCATCTTTATACGATAATTGTCTAGAAAGTAATCTTGAATGGCATCGACGAAAAGAACGTTTATTAAGGGAAATATTAAAACAAGACGCTGATGTATGTTTTTTTTTTGAAAAGAATTACTAGAAAAAAAAAAAGATTTTCTATTTTTATTCCTTTAGATTATTTGTTTACAAGAAATGCAAAAAGATCATTATAAACACGATTTTCGACCAAAAATGGTTGATCATGGTAACAAAAAAAAAACTATTCATTTAAAAATTTCTTAAAATCTTTATAATTTTTTTAAGGATATAATTCAATTTATATAAAACGTTCTGGTGATAAATCAGATGGATGTTGTCTATTTTATAAAACGGACCGACTAAAATTAATCGCCAGTAAAACAGTACCATTCTATCAGAAGAATATTCAATTATTAGACAGGTAGATTTATAGCTGATCATTGATTGATATATTCAAAAATCGCATAAAAAGCTTATGAAGGAATATCCCTAATTATTGAACACCGTCTGATTACATGCAAAATAGGAAAGAAAAGTTAATAGAAGTAGAATAAAGCCTATTTTTTTCAACTTATGACACAATAAGATTTGTGAGCAAGTATGTCATTCGGAAGAGATAATTGAAAATGTCACCTCATTAGATTTCCACGGTATAAATAAAGAATTTCTTTTGACTTTTTGTTTTTGTAAAAATCGAATAATATTTCAAAAATTTCGATCTAATTTATAGAAAAATATTAATCTGCCTATGTATTTTTTCCAGAGACAACTGTGGTTTAATTGCTCTATTTCAACCAATTACACCAAATGCTACATCAGACGATTTATTTTGTGTTGCTACAACTCATCTACTCTTTTCACCAAAACGTGGTGATATCAAATTAGCTCAAATACAATATTTTCTTGCTGAAATCGATCAATTATCAGTTAAAGATTCTACTTTAAATTCTTATTATCCCATTATTGTCTGTGGAGATTTTAATGCACAACCTCAATCTCCACTTTCAAAATTTCTAATCAATGGGCATATTAAATATGATACATATCGTTGTATTGAAATCTCTGGTCAAATTCCACAATCAATTGTTAATAATCGTTTTTCTTTTCAACTTCCATCAAATGAACTTCTACCATCATCATTTGTGACTTCTGATTGTCGTTTTCCAAAAGAGATTTCATCAAACAAAAAAGATCAACTTATTTTTCAAACATATATGAATCGAACATCATCAGCGATATTAACACATAATAAAAAATTTAATTCAGTTTATGATTTAAATGATTTATCCGAAGTCACAACATGTATTGGTAATGAATCAAATTTAGTTGATTATATATTTTATACAAAAAAGGATAATGATCGACATAGATTAAATTTATTAAGTCGATATGATTTATATCAACAAAATCAATTGTTAAATCTTCATTTACCAAATCATCAATTTGCATCGGACCATTTTTTGTTAGCAGCTAAATTTGCTTTAAAATTGAAAAAGAAAAAAAAATAATTGACTTTATTCGCTTATTTCTGTTTTCTTGTATTTTTGTTTTTAAATTGAACTTGTAAAATTATTAGAAAGCATTTTTGTCCTATTTATAGATGACTAGTGTAGAGGCATTTGTTGAAAAATGTCGAGAATTAATTGAACTTGAACGTGAAGAAGAAATAAAACAATCAACGTAAGATTGAATATATATTTTCAAAAAGAAAAAGACTTTTTATTGTTGTTATGATTCATAGAGAAGCATTGAAAGGTCAATCAATAAAACGTCTTGCTGAACGAGGATTATGTCTAACACGTCTTCGTTTTCAATATACATATACAGGTCTATATGGTCGAACAATTCTTGTTTTCGAAGGCGAATCTCTTTCACGTGTTCAAACATTTGGACCAGGTTTGTTTCTTAGAAAAAAAAACAAAATTTATTTTAAGGAAATTACTTTCATTTTCTTCAGGTGATATTGCTGCTATTTATCAACAAGGACATTCAATTGATGAACAAACTTCATTAGCTCATGGTCTTATATTTCGTTTAACAGCAAATACAATACATATAGCTATTGAAGAAAATGATAATGAACAATTTAATTTGTTAGGTGATACTTGTCTTTTTATGATTATTAAAATGGCTAATGATGTGACCTATCGACGATTAAGACAGTATGTTAGAGTTTAAACGACATTCAAATTTAGAAAATAGACATAACTATTGTATATCATAGAGTACAAATTAAATGACTGTAGATCTTAAATAATTTAAATATAAGAAATTTGTTCGAATTTTTACTTGTGAATACACACTATAGAAATATACGCTCCATATTTTATTAAATATACAAATGATAGTAGGATATAAACTTCGAGATGAAACTAAAATATAATTTTTAACAATAACACATTCAAATCAGTTACAAAATGAATTCAGACTCGTTATATGTAGATAATTTATTTTCTTATTCAAAATAATTATTCATTTCATAATATTAATATTTTCTAGTGGTCTTACATTAATGGTAAAACAACGTCAAGGAATCGCCCATCATTTACTTGATATTGCATTTGATAATGCTGATCCAATTCCATCAAATTTTCCTGAGAGGACTGGTCCATCACAATGGTTTAATGAGAATCTCGATCAATCTCAACGAGAAGCCGTTAATTTCGCATTAGCTTCACGTGATATATCCATCATTCATGGACCACCGGGCACTGGTAAATATGGTTCTTTTTTTCATTTTAATTTTAAATTATGAAATAATTTTCCTAGGTAAAACAACAACAATTGTTGAATATATATTACAAGAAGCATTAAAACGTGATGCAAAAATTCTTTGTTGTGCATCATCAAATATAGCTGTTGATAATCTTGTTGAACGTCTCGGAAGAAAAAAACAATTGAAACTTATTCGTCTTGGTCATCCAGCACGTTTACTTGAATCAATACAATGTTTTTCATTAGAATCAATTGTTATGGAAAATTATCAAGATGTTAAAAATGCTATACGTGAAGATTTAAATCAATGTTTTGTAAGATTCAATTTTTCTTTTATTGATTTTTCTTTAATTTGTTATTTTTTATTCAA